TACATTTAGCAACAACATCGTTCCAAGGAGTTGAGAGCAATTTACCAAGTAGTTGGGTAATTGTTAGATGCTGAGGAATATTACTCATCACCACTTACCCAATTTGACTTTGCTCAAATTTTTGTTTGCTCATATATTGGGTAATAAATGACCACCGCCTCTTACCCAATTTCACTTTGCTCAAATTTTTGTTTGCTCATATATTTGGTAATAATTGACCACCGCCTCTTACCCAATTTTACTTTGCTCAAATTTTTGTTTGCTCATAATTATGCTGAGTAATAATTACCCATCACCACTTACCCAATTTTACTTTGCTCAAATTTTTGTTTGCTCATATATTGGGTAATAAATGACCACCGCCTCTTACCCAATTTCACTTTGCTCAAATTTTTGTTTGCTCATATATTGGGTAATAAATGACCACCGCCTCTTACCCAATTTTACTTTGCCCAAATTTTTGTTTGCTCTTATGCTGAGTAATAATTACCCATCACCACTTACCCAATTTTACTTTGCTCAAATTTTTGTTTGCTCATATATTGGGTAATAAATGACCACCGCCTCTTACCCAATTTCACTTTGCTCAAATTTTTGTTTGCTCATATATTGGGTAATAAATGACCACCGCCTCTTACCCAATTTTACTTTGCCCAAATTTTTGTTTGCTCATATGCTGAGTAATAATTACCCATCACCACTTACCCAATTTTACTTTGCTCAAATTGTGTTTGCGCATAATTGGGTAATAATTGACCACCGCCTCTTACCCAATTTTACTTTGCTCAAATTTGTGTTTGCTCATATGCTGAGTAATATTTACCCATCACCACTTACCCAATTTTACTTTGCTCAAATTTTTGTTTGCTCATATATTGGGTAATAAATGACCACCGCCTCTTACCCAATTTATTTTGCCCATATTTTTGTTTGCTCATATGCTGAGTAATATTTACCCATCACCACTTACCCGATTTTACTTTGCTCAAATTTTTGTTTGCTCATAATTGGGTAATAATTGACCACCGCCCCTTACCCAATTTATTTTGCCCATATTTTTGTTTGCTCATATGCTGAGTAATAATTACCCATCACCACTTACCGAATTTTACTTTGCTCAATTTTTGTTTGCTCATAATTGGGTAATAATTGACCACCGCCCCTTACCCAATTTATTTTGCCCATATTTTTGTTTGCTCATATGCTGAGTAATAATTACCCATCACCACTTACCGAATTTTACTTTGCTCAATTTTTGTTTGCTCATACATTGGGTACTGATTTGACCAACGCCTGTTACCCAATTTCACTTTGCGCCTTTTTTTGTTTGCTTATATAGGGTAGTAATTGACCACCGACTTTTACCAAATATATTTAGCTCAATTTTCTTTAGCTCACAATATGCTGTGTAAATATTGCTATGAAAAATTGAAATTATCTCTCCTGTAATTGTAACCATTTACTTCTATTTTAAAATTATAATAACAGAGTGTTGAAGCGACGATGAATTTGTGCGAGTTTGATGCTGAAAGAGTCCAAGATTTATCTTTTGTGAAAACTGAGCCATCTTAACCATGTAGGCCTATAGAGTTACATAATCTACGTAAGTAATGATCATGGAACGTACACACTATCATCGTCAATTACGCGCATGCGTAAATGGCAGTGGAAACCTTCAATGGGGACTAGACTTACGTTTAACCAGACTTGGGTAAAGTTTGCCTGGTATTGGTCTTGGGGTAGCGCGCACATGGCCTGGTCTCTCGCGATCAGCATGCCATGCGCAGTACTATTTCTATTTACTCGGTATACTAGCCGGCGCGGCCGTCCCGGCCCGGGAGCTCGAGCTATATGATACACCAACGTAACTAGCAGCCTGTACGTACGTCGTACGTACATTACGCATCATATCGGAGTCTTGCATGCTAGAGCCTGAGGGTCTAAAAATGGAGCTCGACAACTGCTGCGGAGATAGTTCAAGTGAAGATGGGTTCATAGACCCTCTCACCAAAATCGTTCAAAGGTGGGGATGTCCGTCAGTGTTAAAGATACTAGAAGGTACGTTCACATCTTATTGAGATTAGAAGTTTAGAACATGATCAACAGGTACTTGCTGTAGACTTGTTCCCATATCCATAACACATGGGCAACATGTAGACTAGTTCTATATGCCTCAGCAATGGTTAATGAATACGCTTCAATTCAATTGGTCTATTAAACTTTGCCTCAAATTTGCTCTTTTAATGCATGTGTTACTAATCCAAACTAATATTTGATTGATATAGATATCAAATTCAAATTGTACTGTTTCCATGAATTTTAGATCACAAATGAATATTTAAAAATATTTTGTTCAAGATTTTACAAAACCCAAAGCCAGGCCAAAACCCGGATTTCTGTGCTGTTTCCTGCTACAATACATACATAACACAATACCCTCCATTTTCTATGGATCATGGGTTGTATGGGGTCCAATCACAGAACTCTTAAATACGTATTTAAGAGTTCTGTGGGTCCAATACATTGGACCACATACTTGTAGGTGTGTACCCAGATAGTATTACAGTACGTGGGACTGGTGTAATTTTGAACAATTATCTCTGTTATCTGAAATTGGTATTACTATACTAGATCTAGTCTAGGTCTAGATCTAGATCTAGGCCTACTTATATTTAATAATCAACACTGAACTGAATGATTCATCAGAAAATTGAAGTTGTCAAATAATGTACAATTTTATGAACATTATTTTGTGGAAGATCATCTTATGATCTTTCATTTTCCTGTAGATCTAGAAGTCTAGATTTCAAAAAGTGAGACAATTTGTCTTGCCCATTGCCATGTTAAGGATTTTGCCCTTTCATTTTCTACAGGACTTTGAAATCCAAACACTCTAAAAAAATGTTGGGCAAGTGCCCAATTTTTACCCAACATGAGGGCACTTATGTGTCCGACTAACTATTGGGTAAATTAAAGATTTTGCATGATTTACCCAGTGTTGGATGAAAAGAAAATACTCAACTTTTAACCAACAAAATTTACCCCAATAGGAAATTCACCCAATTCTCACCATAATGTGTAGTATATTCGACACTAGTTGGGCAAATTATTTCATCAGTAACTACATGGTTGGTAGAAAATAACCCAATTATTGGACAAAAATGACCAACTTTAATTTGCCCAAAAATATTACCCAATTATTTCATCGGTAACTACATGGTTGGTAGAAAATAACCCAATTGTTGGACAAAATTTGCCCAACATCAGTTTTACCAAGTAACACCTACCCAACTTATTTCTGACCTTTTATTAGGTAACTTCATACAGTAAATGGTTGGGAGAAATTATTTGACAAAAACGCGCCAAACTTTGATTTGCCCAGTAACATCTGCCTAACTTTGTTTTACAGAGCATAGACTCTACATCCTCTTGGTTTTAAATGGGGCTATTAATTATGTGCTATTGCGATATTCCTTGTCACAACTAAAAGGCAGTTGACCCACATTTTAGCCCATATTAATAGCCTAATTCAAAACCAAGAGGCTGTGGTGGTTTTCGAAATTGCAGTGACCTCGCTGTAGTACACGAATGGGCACAATTTTTAACATGGGTACATTTTTTCTCATTTAAAAAAATCTTTTTCTGAAAATAATTTTTAAATATGGAAAAATTACAGATGCTTAAGCCACCAAATTATGCCGACAAAATTGTACACTATTTTACTACATGTCCAGATTTCAATGAAATCATTAGAACCGATGGACGGATTACAATCCAAACTTGGGACATGTACATGTATCTTGCAAGTTGCAAAGCCAACGAACTGATTCGATTTTGGGATGGAGGTGCACATGGAGGAAGGACATTCGTTAGTACAGGATTAACTGTCCTATTTTGCTTCATATCAGTGAAATGTTCCAGCACATGCATTTTTTTAATGTTTCACACCACTGAACAATAAGCTGTACAAAAGAATTATTAAACACCACAAATTATCTTTTCTAGGATAAACAATTGTCAGTTGCCTCTATTCAAGGTAACACACTATAATTTATATATGGTTGTATGGTACTGTAAGTGGCCTGTGAAAGGCTTGAGTGCTAGACTTTTTGAGAAACCCTGGTCAGATAAAGCTAGGTTATTTGTCATACTAAAGCTGAGAAACATGGCTACTAATGCAGACAATATCATGGCAGCCGCAAAAGGTTGAAAAAAACAATTACCGGTATGGCAGTTTAAAGTTGAAGTAATAGGCATGACAGTGCACATGGAGAAGACACATATGATTATCAATGAATTAGTAATGTTAATTAACCAATCAGCATACATTGACCTCTATGCTAACTCTCAAATCATTCTGATTCATTTGGTAAGTTGAATGACTTTCTTTGAAATCAAATTCATTGCTGATGCAACTAATCTTTATACTTTAAATAGGCCCCAACATTGTTAAAAATTAGGCACAATTTGACTAAACTAATGTGATTACTAGTATGACTTTAGAAAAGGTTTCCATTCTTAATTTGATTGTGTGGATGTTAGTAACATCACCTGAAAATAAATAGCAATTGGTTGATACAATTCGCTAGTATGATCTAAAAGTAAGTTTTCTATACGAAGACCAAATTTTCGAGAAAATCGCATTTGAAAATTCAGATTTTCATAGACCCTTGTGGAATAAGAAAACATTGATTATGCGATTTATTCAAAATGGAAGATATTTTAGCTGGAACATGAGCAAATGTTTACAGCTTATCATTATCTAAAACATATACTTTTGTTTAATTTGCGCAACCATACGTGTGTTTGTGGTATTATATGAAAACAATCAGTTTATGCTGCACTAAGCCTTATTTATCAATCTCTCCCTCTTCTTCTCCAGAAAATGAAGTTGATGTGGAAACCCTTCCCCTTCTAAGTGAAAGTATAATCACATCCTTCATACCCAAGATTGGACCTCGATTGAAGTTTCTCGCTGGGTGGCGTGCAGAGGTAGGACAATAGTGTGGCACAATATCTCACTATGGATAGTTACAGATGCTTTCAGTGTCTTGATTTAATTAGGGGGGATATTTCTTGCCTATTCCATCATTTAAAATACACACATACAACAACCAGGGGAAAAAATGTAAGTATAACATGCATGCAAGGGGCATGTAGACTAACATTTCGTACATTATCAGGATATAGAAAACATCTCATTTCAAAGCACGCTGCACGGATAAAGACGTCAAGCACAACTACAAAAGCAGTTCCAGATCACCAAAGTGAAACCTGTTATGAAGGATCTGTTCTACATGTAGGAAAGAATAACAACACTGAAGGGAATTTGGAACAACTGCACCAGGAAAAGGCATTGTTTGTTGGAGAAAGCAGTGAGCAGGAAGATGTCTCTTTTGAAACGCAAACAGAGAGACTACCTGATATTGCAGCAAAGTTTGTAGCAGAACTCAGGGCAAGGACTAATGTGCCTGCTTCACACACCAACAAGGTCATTCAAACCGCACAAGATTTGGTTATTTCTGTGTTACAAACTGTGCAACAGGATGTGATGGATATCTTAAGTGAGCCACAATATGCAGCTAACAGTGAGCTGAGATCTGATATACAAGATGTATTCGAGAATTCAAAGAATCCATTTTCAGAGCTCATGTCAGATACTCAACAGAAAAAATATTTCTCTGAGAAAGGTGATTTCATTCAGCCTTGTGAGGTGTTGTTGGGAACTTGCTTAAAACCAAAAATTGATCAAAAGACAGGTGATCCACTGCAAAGCACACAAAAAGAAACCTTTCAATATATACCACTAGCTGACACTATTAAACAATACTTAGAGCGACCAGGAGTAATGAACGCCATACTGTCTCAAAAAGGATCAAAAGATAATGATGTTTTGTATTCATTCAAAGATGGTCACTATTATAAAAGGCAGGAAGCTACTGCTAGACAAGACTGTGAATTCTTAGTGCCTCTGTTGTTGTACAATGATGAGTTTGAGACAGCCAATCCGCTTGGGTCAAAACGCGGCAAACACAAGGTAAGTGCCTTTTATACAAGTGTGTTATCCCTTCCCAGGAAATACCAGGCTAGGCTGGAAAATATCATGCTCACAGCTATGATCACATCTCCGCTTTTGAGTAAATATGGCATCTCAGAAGTTTTGAAGGTAATCAAGGATGATCTGCAGCAGATGTGGACTGATGGACTCACTATCAAGTGCAAAGAGTTTGAGGGTAGGGTCAAACCCTACTTATTCCAAGTTGTAGGGGACAATCTTGGCATTCATGCCATGCTGGGATGTACAACCTGTTTCCGTGCCAACTATTACTGTAGATTCTGTAGAGGGCATCGCTCGTTGCTTCAGAAACAGCCAAAAGAGGATGCCCAATATCTCCGTGATGAAATAAACTATGATACAGATCTTCAAAAGCCCTTGTCAGAATCTGGCTTGAAGCATGCAACAGTTTTGAATGAATTGCCTTACTACCATTCCACCCAAAACTTATGTCCAGATGTAATGCATGATTTTACAGAGGGAGTCTTGCCCCTGGAAATGCACCTTGTTTTGAGTAAACTTGTTCAGAAGGGTTTCATAACACTGGATGAGGTGAACAGTAGAATATCCTCATTCAATTTTGGCTTTGTGGACCGCAAAAACAGACCAAGCCCAATCAGGCAGGCATCACTGAAGAATCCATATTCTGCCAGTGGACAGACATCAGCACAGATGACGTGCCTTGCATACAACATCCCTCTCATGATAGGAGACAAGATTGATGAGATGTGTGATGAGTGGGAACTCTTACTGTCAATCATTGACATCTTCAAAATCATTATGAGTCCCAGTATCAGTAAGTCTGCCATCTATGTCCTGAAGGCAATGATTGATGATCACCACAGGCTCTTCATGCAGCTCTTCCCTGAAGCTAGTCTAACTCCGAAGCAGCACTTTCTTGTGCATTACCCACGTGCACTGAAACACCTTGGGCCACTGACCCAGTATTCAGCATTGCGTTTTGAAGCAATGCACAGACCTTTCAAGCAGATTGCCAGTGTATCTTGCAACTACCAAAACATTGTCAAAACATTGGCTAACAGATACCAAATGGCACGGTGCTACAGGTCAGTATCAAATCAGTCACTGGATAGCCAAGATATCAATGTGTCACAGCAAGCTGCAGCAATGCTTGGTGATCTACTTGATGATGAGGCACTTTGCAAAAAAATTAACTGTGGAAGGGGAACCGAAGTTACAGTTGCTGGGAAAGTGGACATTCATGGATATGAGTTCCGGGCAGGTGTTGATGTACTTCTATATTGGACTGATGATGATGGACCCACGTTTGGACGTGTTCAGCATATTGTAGTGGTGCAAGAAAAGTTGTATCTGCTCCTTCGGCTGTATCAGACCTTGTACTTCAACAGACATGTTGAAGCATTTGCAGTACAGGTGGGCAGAGAGGAAGCACAAGCTGCTGTTGAATGGTGTGACCTGTTTGATCACAGGCCAGTCAATGCTGTCCAGTCCTATAGTGGAAGAGGGCGCTGCTTGTATATTGTGGTGCACCATTCATTCATCTAGGAACAAGAAGGTACGTGTAGGCAACACGTTGCAAGCAAGTGATATATTTTTACAACTAGACATTACAGGTGCACTTGCAAATTTTGTCTTAGAGAACAGAACCAAAACAAAGCAAAAGAAAGAAACTGTTATTCCAATTACAATTATATCTATGAATCAGTTCTTAGTGTATCATTCTACACATTTTGATTGAAAAAATAGCTAAGAAGCTAACCTTGAGCGATCTGTACTGACTTGCTAAAATTTTTTGATTATTCCAATGAAAATTTTACAGTAAATATCTGGTTTGAATTTTTTAACTCGTTATTAACTTCATTGTTTCTGTATCTGAAAATGTGTCTGTTATATTTGCATTCATTCATATTATGTTGTAATTTCTTAAATGTACCATGACTCATGCCAAGTTTTTCTAGCATATGTACTTCATTGAGGCCCCGGAAATGTGCTATTTTTTACCAATGCATGTTCCTGCCTAAAGTGAAAGTTCCTAACTGGATATTATTATATTATAGATGTACTGAAGAAGCTTCGGCTCATGAGTGACCACTTTTCAATTATGGGTTTGCTTTAAACAGGACAAGGGTACAGAAACAGTGAGAATGATTTTCCCCTTCAAGGAATAAACTTGATACTAAAGTCTAACCTGGGGCTGTTTGTGTCATTAATAATGTAAAGAATAATCAGTCATTTACATGTACATTGAAAGTTCAATTATTTTTCATTTATTTATTGTAGTATCATGCTGCAAATCAACAAAGCATGGAACAAGCATCAACGTCGACAAGAAGCCCATCAGTGTTCTCCTTAGATGACTGCTCAGATCTCTCTTGTGTAACAGGAAGTGAGTGGAGTCCCAGACAAAGCCCTTCCCAGCCCAGTTTGGATACGCCACTTTACGACTCCCCAGAATCCAAGAGTCCTGATCAACATCCTCCCCTGAAACGGGTCAAGAAAGTGCATTTCGTAAGTTTATGTATATAGTGGGCTGATACAATTGAAGAGTGGGCATGTCGAGTCACCATCATTCATCAGTTTTTATGCCTCCCACACATAAGAGTGCCGGAGGCATTATGTCTTGGAGTTATCTGTCTGTCAGTATTTCTGACAAGCAGCAGGGCTCAAAGGTGAAAGGTCAGTTCAAAGGTTATTCAAGTTTTTACTAAAAATACCATTTTATTTCTACATCTGCAGAATGGCTAGTGATATGATTTGGTAGGTACATTTAGGTATGAATGAATAAAGGAATGTTATGGAAAATGTTTGGTTGGGGTTATGGGTTTTAAGCTAGTCTAAGGTCAGTTTCAAGGTTTCATTGAAATTTTTTATCAGAACAAAGTTTGGAAGGAATGCCCAGTGAGTGATTTATGATGGGCTTATTGTAGGAGGTCGGACAGCCAGAGATATACCCACCGACTGCATGCTGTCACATTTCACTTGTTTATTCTGAATTTACTGATCTTTAAAAAAAAATCCTTTATCTGTTGCAGAACATTGCTTGTATATTGAGAGAGACCACCATGGGAAGAGCAGCATTAAGGAACATCAATGCTACAAATCTCTGCAGCAAAAGGGACCGGCATACTGTTGTGGATATGTTGACTCAGTACCTGATACGGGAGTATGGTACCAAGCCAAGCTCATTTGTGAAGGCATCAATGGCCCATGCCCTTGTGACAAGCTTTCCTTTCTTAAAAGATCCAGAATCTCCACTTGGCTATGTAAGTCCTGTCCATGAATTGCTTTCCTTAATATATGTGACCTCAGGTATGGCTCAGATCACCACTTTTTTCTGGACTGATTTATGGATTGATTCTTACCACAGCGGGCATTTATTACTTGGAGGTGCCTTAATTCTTAGGTTGTCCATCCATACCTCCATCTGTCCCTACCCCACAGACCCCATTTACAAGAAAGTGAAATTTTATGAGAAGTTTCTGTTTGAGCCAGAAGCAATAAGCTACTTTAAGGTCTAAATCAAATAAATTATGTGTTTATGCAATAACTTTTGGAATACTGGATCATATTATTTTGTGTAACTTGCTATGAAGCTTCCTCAATTTTGTTATTCTTGTATTTATTATATTGGAGATGCTCAATCAATTGCATGTTGTATCACATTATCACAAGCATTATAAGAGCATCTCTGGCAATAGTAAATTTGACAGTAGACAGGCCTGAAAAGCTTACAAATAATGAAAAGCTAATATGGCATCAATCACTAAATCGTGCAATATTTTTGTTTATTTTTACCACTTGTTTATAAGTTATATTATCCAGTAATGACACATCTCTTAATATTTAGACTTTTGTCTGCATGCCATTGAGTAATGGATATTCACAGAATTATCCATCATTCACTTTGTTTTTGCAATGACCTGATGACATTGCTGGAATATAACAGTGTGCAGTTAGAAATAGGTACTTAAGAGGACAAACCTTGTTATTGCAAACACTGACATATGTAACAAAATATGTAAATGTACAGTTTACACTGGAATTTTATTGTGCTTTTATTTGATTATTATTAATGTTTAACAAATGTTGTTGAGCATTACTGTTTTTGAAGTTGAATTATGAAGGAATTTTAATTTATTTGAGCAGGAGGCCTGGTACTGCGTGGGGGCCAAGGGACGGCCAGCAACAGGCTACCTGGAGGAGCATCTGAGGTATGTCAGAAAAAAGGAGAAGTCCCTGAGGGTACCAGTAGCTGAAGACGAGGCAGAGTCTCAAAAGCAAGGTATTCTGGCTACTTTTTCATATAGTTAAAGTTATGAGTTATTCAGATCCGGCTGATGAAGTCATGCTGTGCCATAACAAACTGGTGGGGCATGAGCAATGTCAACTAAAACCCCCCTTCCAATACAATCATCAAAAACTTGTTGATACATGCTAATTGTTGATTGTTCTGTTGCATTATATCCAGGAGATACTGATCTTGAGTCTGTGAACGATGATAACATCACGACAATGGAAGAATGGCTGCGTAACAACAAGGAGCCAGAGGACATGGTGAAGGACTACATGAAACAAACAGCAACAAAAAGACATGACTGGATCAAGAGAAGTGACTGTTGTGTGAAGAACATTCTTACCACATATCCCAGACTTCTCGATGCTGGAATGGTATGTGGACCTTGATTTTTCTTCTGCATGTGACAAGAAAGGACATTAAATTAAACTAGAGTCGCATGTTTTGAGAAGTAACTTTTTTGTTTTTTGGTTGCATGGGCAGGTTTACTTTAGCAGTCTCCTTAAAGGGATCGTTTAACAATCTGAGATACACGGTCCTACAGAAATCGTGCATCCCTATTGAACCGATAATTGTTAGTGTGTACCATTCAAATCCTTGCAAAATGGTAAAGAGAAGATGCAAATGAAAGATATCCTACCTTTAATCTGGCTTCTATAACTATCCTAACAATTACAGATTGAAGGAGATTTTGCAGAATTGTTCCCAGAGAAAGCAAACGCACTGTACCAGAAGTGGCCCACATTCTGTAACAAAGTAGTGGACTTCACCGAGAAAACTGGCAACTGGAGAAGTGCAAGAGCCGAATTCGAAAACATTCATGACCCTGGGAAACTCAGTCTTGGTATGTGGTGTCAGAACACACATTTGACAGTATTAGTGAAAATGACTTGAGAGAAAGTCAAAAGAATTTATTTCAATTACACTATATGATGTTTATTTTTGTGGCCAGGACCAAACATTGAGTCTAATATCCCCCCTGTAAGGAATTGAACTGAAATAAATAAAAGTGCTCTGAAACATATAATACATGTACAACATATGATAAAAACATGATTCCATGACAAAGGTTTAGCATACTTTTACTTGCTTGTTTTGTTTGTTTGCTTTTTGGGGTGGGGATGGTGGTTTAAAGCTCATTGGGAAGGCTATGCTGAAGTTTGTGCAATTTTGATTTTCTTTACTCAGAAAGCTGAGCTCCAAATTACTGACTGACATTTACGTTGAGTGATTTTACCCATATTTGTAGAAAATAATTGTTGTATTCGACCGTTATTTTTAATTTGCTGTATATAACTGTACATTTTGTAAGATGTTCCATAATTGACCTGTTTGCTGTTGCACCTTTTCTTCATATGTAATTGGGACTTAATTACTTAACTCTTTCATTGTTTCCCTCTTTTTAGAGGAAAAGAGCAATCTTGGATTCTACATGCTCCCAGTCTTGTTCCGAGGAAGGAAAGATTCCAAGAGAGGAACGTACACCACTGCAGAAACATTGTCGTCCTTCATTGACGTTCAACCAGTAAGTATATGTGCTGGGGAGGTGGTAAAGTAATGACATGTAAGGCATATATTTTGGTTTGTGTTTAAAATCTTGCCATAGTAATCATATTTCATTACAAACAAATTCAATAGTTAATTTGTTAAGAGTTTCAAACCTAGGACAACTGATGAAATTGAGGTTGAAATGCAATACCTATGTTCTTACCAGATAAGGCATTGCCATAACATTTTATTTGTGTAAAACTTGAAAAGCAACCATTTTCAAGTTCCTAGTAATGGGCACGCTGGTCCCCAAGGAGGCCCTGCAGGGGCAACACTAGGCGCTTTAATCTTAATAAGTCAGTTCGTCATTATCTGTGGTACAACTACAAATGGCCTCAGATTTGTCATCACATCGCATTTCACTCATGAATGCAAGCAAGTCCTTTAACCTGCAAATGACATGTGAAAAATGCATGCTTATATTAACAGGCTGTATATGCCTTCCAGCTTAGTTGATGTAATGCTCTGAACGTGACCAGTTTGGGTACAGTTGACCTTTGCCGCAGGGATATGTAAGAATACCCAGTAATGTTTTGATGGGACAGGGATGAACATGCATAAACAAATTTGGGTGTCCTGTAGGTGATTGTGGATTCATAAGCAGAAGCATTCGACAAGCATCAAATATATATATATCAATCCATATAATTACAAATGATTTCTTCTTGATTTCTCTTTGGACTACAGGAGGTTCTCGACATCCAGACTTATGTTGATAACATTGATGAAGCAGTCAGGTCACAGCCATTTGTTGTTGTGCGTGGGAACATTCTCACACCAATACAGGCGTACGTCGTAGTAGAGAGGAGGATACTTCCTGCCGCAACACTGCTTAAAGCAGTCGACTTGTGCTTTAAGGCACTTTATGTGATGGATATCGAATATCAGCCGCAAAGCTGTTCTGTTTGGAAATTTCTCCAGATTGTGGTGTTCCAGTTTACCGATGGGGAGCATCTTACACCAAAGCTGCGGGAGGTCCGAGCCTTCATGAACATGCCATAAGCCATCATGATGTGTTCACGCCAAGGATGATTACTGGTGATATATTTCCTACAGATGAAACTGACACATCATCGTTTAGCACATTTTGGCTACTTGAACCAGTTTATTTTGGGAGAAAAAAAACTGGAAAAAAGTATTATTTTGGACAAAATAACCTTAAAGACAAACTGAGTTGGATTCAGCACATTATTTTACATAATTTAGACATGTTTGTGTAAGACTGAAGATTTGAGGGTGGGGTGAGGATCGCTGAATAATATAAAAAAAAAAGAGAGAATTTATACACAGCAGAAGTCTTTGTGTACATTTTAAAAATGATAAAGGCCTAATTGTTTTATCCCAATCATTGCTTAACATCCCCACCTTGAAAGTTTAAGAAAACAAATGAATATATGCCAAGTATAAATACAAAACATATTATTGGCTATAAATCTTTTGCACTGGCGTATACAAATGCTTATCGTGTTTGGTCTTAATCCCAAGAGTACTGTTTCATAACTCGTACATCAAAATGATATATTTCTTCATAAAACATGAGCTATGATATTTATGACGTTTAAAACAGCAAGTGGGGTATATGATTGTAAATTACATATACCATTAATTTTCATGTAATGTGTATCGTCCATTGACCCTACGCTGAACTCTCTGCTGAATGGACTGCATGCATTAATTTACATCGCGCAAAGCAGAAGTAGAGAAGTCAACATTTTCATCTACATTTTGCAAAATTGTATTGATATTATTGATAATATCAATAAAATCAATCAAACTGAGTATAGCAGGTAGGGTCAATTGATTTTTGTTGTCTTTAATCTAATCAAAAAGTTATAGTAGGCAGTGTGTATCCTTGTTATTTGATCAGTACCTGTTCACCATCACAGATAGCCAAACTTTCATGTGGTACTTCTGCACATGTCAAATAATCTAGAGGGATTTGAATTTATTTCCTCTTTTTTTTTCACTTCAAAAAAATGTGTGCATGTGTAACACTCTAAGGCAGAGTATTGGTGTGTCAGGATAAATGAACACTATGCCACACATGGGAGTACATGGGATACATACAGTGTACATCAAAGTTGTCATGCTGCACCAAACAGGGGCTATATTTGCATTTACTTTTTTTAAAAGGTTGTATTTTTTTCACCAAAAATTGTAATGTTGTAGTTGATGTGAACAAGTTTTGTTTTTACGTTTCTGATGTAAACAACAACATGTGTTTACTGTGTATGTTATTTGTGTTTCAGTTAAGCAATTATTACCCTTTAGATGAGAAAAAGAGTTGAGCAAATAGATGTTATGGAAAAAATGTTGAGCAATGATTATCCAACAGACGAATTAAAAAGTTGGGCAAATGGATATTGTGGAGAAATAGTTGAGCAATTATTACCCAATAGATGGTTGTTTTGATAGTTGGGCAAATGGATATTGTGGAGAAATAGTTGAGCAATTATTACCCAATAGATGGGTGTTTTGATAGTTGGGCAAATGGATATTGTGGAGAAATAGTTGAGCAATTATTACCCAATAGATGGGTGTTTTGAGAGTTGGGCAAATGGATATTGTGGAGAAATAGTTGAGCAATTATTACCCAATAGATGGGTGTTTTGAGAGTTGGGCAAATGGATATTGTGGAGAAATAGTTGAGCAATTATTACCCAATAGATGGGTGTTTTGAGAGTTGGGCAAATGGATATTGCGGAGAAATTGTTGAGCAATTATTACCCAATAGATGGGTGTTTTGAGAGTTGGGCAAATGGATATTGCGGAGAAATTGTTGAGCAATTATTACCCAATAGATGGGTGTTTTGAGAGTTGGGCAACTGGATATTGCGAAGAAATTGTTGAGCAATTATTACCCAATAGATGGGTGTTTTGAGAGTTGGGCAAATGGATATTGTGGAGAAATAGTTGAGCAATTATTACCCAATAGATGGGTGTTTTGATAGTTGGGCAAATGGATATTGTGGAGAAATAGTTGAGCAATTATTACCCAATAGATGGGTGTTTTGATAGTTGGGCAAATGGATATTGTGGAGAAATTGTTGAGCAATTATTACTCAATAGATGGGTGTTTTGAGAGTTGGGCAAATGGATGTTGCAGAGAAATTGTTGAGCAATTATTACCCAATAGATGGGTGTTTTGATAGTTGGGCAGACTGGGAGTTGGGTAAAAACTGGTTGGGCATTTAATTAACCAACATTAAACTTACTCAAAAGTTGGGCAAATAGAAGGTTGGGCAATATCTAACTGGGTAAAATTGGTTGGGCAAGAAATTACCCAACTGAAAATATAACCAACTGTTAGGCAATTGTAGAGTTGGGTAAAATATGATGGGTCACCAACTGATGGGCAATTTGATTTGCCCAACCACATAGCAAACTGATTACCCAACATCAGTTGGGCAGATTTTAACCAATAGTTGTGTGGACCGTATGTTGCTCAGTGTTGGTTAAAAGTTGGGCATTTTTTTGCCCAACTATTTTAAGTGTGTAATATCCTAAAAATGTACACAATTTGATTCATGATAAAGAACCCCTGGGAAAAGGGCACACATCACACACTCAGTGAAAAAAGCATACACACAAACACCCACCAAAAACAAAACAAACTGTAAAGGCAGCCAACAGTATGTGGCAAGAATGAGAAAACCTTAGAGCCTCATAATTAATCATAATGAACCAGTATCAACAAGGATAAGAACAATAAAAACTATTATCCCCAATGGTGAATCGTGGGTAACCAAAAACAAGGCACCTCCAGGGCACCCCGAGAATTCCTAAAAAAGTTTAAGTGAACAAAATATGTTTAAAAAGACCGACATCACTAAACTAATCTGGTGTCCAGCAAGTTAAAACGCGTTAAGTTCAAGGCATGTCATCTTGTAAAATATAAAAGTTTTCTGTGAAAGTCAGACGGTTTGTACGAGACAGCCACTATGATAATCACAGTGTTGTTATGGTGTACTACAGTTGCAATTCAAACACCTGGCCTGTGAACCTTCAGCTGGTGATCTTGGACATACTTAATTGTCGCAGGGTATACAAAGAATGCTCGCTTTCCTTGTTGCTGCAACATCTTTAACTCAGGCAGGAGAGCTTTACGGCGAGCCTGAACGCGATGACTGAAATCCTCTGCAACATATAACTTTGATCTCTCTTTGAACTTGAACCCCTCCTTGAACGCAGCAACACATGCCTTCCGGACCCTCACTCGATCTTGAAACGAACTGAAGCAAACATGAATTGGACGATCCTTCGGCTTGTACTGGCTGCCATTCTGGGGATGTCCACGAGATGATAGTGGACCTGGGGGCGTGCGGTGAGCCCTCTCGATCTGAACATGCTCAAGATTCTTGTCAATAGAGGCCAAAAAAGATGAAATCAACTCACTGCATCCACTGGCAGAATCAGGCTCCTCACCTTCAGGGAAGTTGAAAAAGATTAGATTGTTTCTTCGAGATCTATTCTCAAGGTCGTCAATCTTATCAAAAGCTGCAGCCAATTCCTTTTCCAGATGTTGGAATTTTTCTTCACAAGCAGCTTCATGAAAATCCAGTCTCTTATGCAGGTCATCAAACTTTGAATCCAAACGCCTCTCATATTCTATGAACCAAACAGGGGCCGCAGCGGCCGCGTCACTCACCCGGGAGCTGCCGGGGCCGGCTGGCGAAGACATGGCGTTGGATCGCTGACAATCAACGGGCAACTTTCTTTGTTTTTTCTCGGTCGATCCACCGTTTTTGGACGGGGAGTTGAATCTCTTGTCCGGCATTAGGAAACAGCAGTAGTAGCTACAGCAGGAATGGGTAGATCGAAGAACGCATTGCCGTATAGACCTTATGCATTGACGTCACGGCTCGCCAAACGACCGATTACGCCGCCATCTTAGAGCGCCTAGATCGGCTGCCGCGCCCATGCAAATGTTGATGATATCACTGCCTACGCGCTGCGTTGTGCGCGCACATCATCATTTGCATGGGCGCAATCTTAATTTACGCATAAATACCAGAGGTCAGAGGTTATTGGCCCCAATTTTGGGGCCAATGACCCGAGGTCAACTGTCTGCGCATGCGCACTGATACAACTGTAAACTGGTGTATTAAGACCCGGTAATAAAGCTGTTGTTGTTGTTGTTTAGAGTTTTAAGGGCGTGTGTCATTCAATTATGAATATTAAGCCGAATTCAAGTTTGTTAATAATTTTAAATGGAAGCAACAAAAAAAGGAGGGAAAAAAAAATCGACGCTGTTCAATTTTTCGCATTTTGCGGAGATTCCAGACAGGCTGTCAACATAAAATCATTTGACCGTTTTGTGCGTATTTTCTGGCCAGCCCGGTTCGGTACATTGAACAGGCTTCTCGGCTTGCATGTTCATGCGTAGCCTAGGCACCTCCAATACCGGCCAAGGGCTATGCGATGTCTGTCGGTGGGATGTCTCCTTTCCGGGAAAAAAACAAAAGCAAACAAAAGCATGTGATTAGATTTAAAAAAAAAAAAATCTTCAAACTAAGACCTCACCATCTTATTCCTGTGGAATAACATGGGTATAGAGCGTAGTCTTTCCTTCAGACCCGGTTATTTCAAAAGAAATAGAAATTTAAACATATCTTCTAAACTAAGACCCACCATCTTATTCCTCTTTTTTTTTTTTCATTTAAAAATAAATTACATATGTGGATACAACACGTCACAAATAAATGATTGGTCAGCGGTCACACGAACTGACGAATCAGTCAAAATGGTCCATATATATAACACACAGAGGAGGGACCGATTCGATGGTTCGTTGACCGTCGACGATTTTTTAATCATGTAAATATTCTAACGCCCACAAATATCCTGGAATTCAATGTTCGTAGAATAAGTGACCTTAAATGTATTTACATATTGACGCTGATTGTTTTATGCATGTGATTATAAAATATGTTCACGATATGTAACATAATATGTACTTTTGTTATTCTTTGTCATTTGGTCGTCCTATTAGACTGAAAATCATCACATTTTATGATAAAATGTATTTTGAACTATATTGCAATGCTATTGTGAACCAAATACTGTTCACAGGCTTTATTTTCGACTGTATAGGAAAAAAAAGCAAACTTTAGAGAAATGATACAGCCAATACAGTAGAAAATGTTGAATAACATGTTGACTGTTGA